ATGACTCCTGACATGAACCAGGTTGACCTAAGCAACTCTGAACTGAGTCTACTACACAGCTGGTTCAGCTTTTAACCGAAGCATTTTTAGGGTTTACCATGATGTACTAACCCTTTACCATAAAAATAATTTCATTTCAAGGCATGTGTGTGTGTGTGTGTGTGTGCAAACACTGACACATTCCTCTTAGAGACCAGGTACTATTTAAGCAATACCAGTGACAAAACATGGACAATGAATCAGTGAAGATACAGTGTCCCAGTTTCATAACGGCAAAGTCAAGATGGCACACATATGAAGCTGCTGTTGTAGAGCACTTATGTGCTGGGATGGATGGATCCAGATAAATCCCCAACATGTCATTGTGCCAAACAGTTTTTTTTTTGGTGATGTAAATAATTTGTAGGTCAAAACTTTAACTGTCAGTAGATTCTTAATCATAACTTCCTTGGTCTGATGTTCAAATCACTGCCGTCACCGTCTCATGATTTTGTTTTGACTGAACAAAATCCCACATCCTCGGTGAAACGACAGATTTGAATGTAGCTTTAACATTAACATGACTTGCTAATAGGTTTATATGTTGGTGTAAACAGCCTCTTGTGAGAAGTGATATCATTGCGTAAAATGTGTGCAGTGAGATGTGCTCTGAATGTTTGCTGCTGACAGAAACACTCTGAGTGGAGTTTTACTTCTCATATCATCTTTAAGAGCATTTGTGAACATCTGGCGAACTGGTATTACAGTAAGTCTACAAAAATGATGGTGTGTGTGTGTTTGTATATTACTTTACTTGAGTAAGTACACATACAGATGGTTTATTAGTCTGTTTACTTTATGTCTGTGCACATCTGGTTCATGCTGCAAGTTCATTTTGCCTCGTGTCTTAAATCCTGTATTTTAAGTGACCATCTGTGTTCCCATTAAGTCAGGTCTCTGAAGTCTATCTGACAAAAGCCAGTGCTGGGGAGTAATGAACTACATGCAGTAGTTTTCTGGTATTCAACCTACACTTATACTTGAATAGTTTGGTAGTTCAGTTGCTTTTTTGTCACTTTTTGTTTAGGGAATGCC